ACAACATATTGCATTAGGCAAATCTGCACAAGACCTTTATAAAGTGTTGAAGAGCAAAGATGTCAGCTTCAGGACTAAGGTGCACCTGACCCAAGCATGATATTTTGACGCACCTCAATGCAGGTGAAAACTGGACAGTGAATATGGAAGACCGTAGAAGAATTGATGCTTTTGAGTTATGGTGTTGGAGGAGAATATTCCAAGTGCCATGGGCTGCCAAAAGAACCAATAGATCAGTTTTGGAAGAAGTCAAGCCAGAGTGCTCCTTGGCGGCAAGATGGCCAAACTTCGACTCTCATACTTCGGACATATTATCAGGAAGGACCAGTCACTGGAGAAGGATATCATGTTTGGTAAGGTGGAGGGTCAGAGAAAAAGAGAAAGACCCCCAACGAGATGGGATTGGCCAAGTGGCAGCATCAGTGGACTCAAGCGTGGCAACAGTAGTGAGGTTGGCTCAGAGTTGAGCAGTGTTTTGTTTGCTATGCATAAGGTCGCTATGGATCTGTACCAACTTGATGGCACCTAACAACAACATTGAGCCTCTCAACTGTTTCTTCCCATAGATGTAGTCAGTTTGATTCCTGTGTATTCTTTCTTGTTGAGGTCCATGTGTATATAGCTGCTGTTTATTTTGTTGAAAAAAGGTGTTTGCAGTGAATAAATCATTACTCTTACAAAGTTCTATCACACTATCGCCAGCATTTTTTCTATCACAAAGGCATAGTTTGCAACTACTGATCCCTCCTCTTTGTTTCCATCTTTCACATTCCAATCACCAATAATTGTCAATGTACCTTAATTGCAAGTTTGATGTATTTCAGACTGAAGAAGTTGGTAGAATTCTTCATTTTCTTTATCTCGACTATGGTGGTTGCATAAATTTAAATAATAGTTGTAATAGCTGGTCTTCCTTGTAGGTGTGTAGATATTATCCTATCACACTGTATTTCAAGATGGATTTTGACATGGTCATTTTGACAATGAATGTGTTACCAGTTCTTTTCAGTGTGTTTCCCAGCATAGTAAACCATTGTCTGATTAAAAATGGGCAATCCCTGTCTATTTCATCTGGAGGAGATCGTGCTTGGTAAAGCTGGAGGGTCAGTGAAAAAGAGGACGACCCCCCACCAAGACAGATTGGTTCAGTGGCAGCAGCAATGGGATCAAGCATAATGATTATGAGGTGGCACAGAATTGGACAGTGTTTCATTCTGTTGTACATAAGGTCACTATGAGTTGAAATTGACTCGACTGTACTTAGGAACAACAGCAATGCCTAGGATATTGATCTTTATGCATTCCATTTCATTTTTGAACACTTCTAATTTTCTTAGGTTCAGACATCATACATTCCATGTTCCTTTTTTTAATGGATGTTTGCAGCTGTTTATTCTCATTTTGAATTGTGCCTCGTTAGCAAATGAAGGTCCCATAAGCTTTGCTCTAGTCACATCATTAAAGTTGACTCTACTTTGAGGATTCAGTTATTCCTCTATTGTTTGTTGAGTGCTTCTAACCTGAAGGGCTCATCTTCTGGCATTGTATCATCAGACAATGTTTTGCTACTATCCATAAGATTTTAAGGGACTAATCCCTTAGAAGTGGACCACCTATTCCTTCTTCCTTAATCTGTTCTTAGTGTGGAAGCTCTGCTGAAACCTGTCTACCGTGGGTGACCCTGCTGGTATTTGAAACACCAGTGGCGTAGCTTCCAGCATCACAGCAACAGGTACACCACCCCAGTACAACAAACTAACAGACATGTGGGAAAAGACCTAAATACAAAACTCTTGCAAGAAAATCTTGATGACCTAGGCAATGGTTTTGTAGGACTACAGAAGTACAGTTTAGTCAAAGAAAATATAAATTGGGCTTCATTACTACTAAAAACTCATGCATCAAGGAAAGTGATAAGACAGCTCATAGATATGGGAAAAATATTTGTAAATCATATCGGGTAAGAGTTCAGTATCCAGAAAATATAAAGAACAGTTACAATTCAACAATAAAAAGACACAGAATCTAATTACAAAGTTAGCCAAGGATTTGAATAGATATTTTTCTTAAAAAGATATACAAAGGCCTCATAAGCTATGAAAAAGGTTTAGTATCATTAACCATTCTTGTGTGTTGTTGAGGTGCTTCTGCCTCATAGCAACTCTGTAAGACAAAGTAGAACCCCTCTATTGGATTTACAAGGCTGTAATTTGTAATCTTTATGGAAACATGTTGCCATATCTTTCTTGTGCAGAGTGGCTGATGGATTTGAACTGCTAACCTTTTGGTTAGCAATTGAAGCTCTCAAGCACTGTACCACCAGGGGTCTTGCATTAGCCATTGTTGTTGTTAAGTAGTGTCAAGTCGATTCCAACCCATAGCGACCCTGTACAGGGTTTCCAAGGAGCAGCTGGTGAGCTTCAACCACCAACCTTGCAGTTCAAATGACTTTGCAGTCTGACGCATTAGCCCACAGTGCCACACCAGGCCTACGTTGTTGTTGTTACCTGCCATCAATTCAGTTTCAACCCATAGCAAACCTGTACAGGGTTTCTGAGGAGCAGCTGGTGATCTTGAACTGCCGACCTTGAAGTTCAAACAGCTTTTCAGTCTGGCGCATTAACCGACAGCACCACTATATGCTTACTGGATACATATTCAGTAGGATGGCTTCTGTAAGAAAACAGAAAAGTGTTAACTTATTTAAAGTGTTAACTTAGATGTGCTTTATTGATGGGAATGCAAATGATGCAGTCACTGTGAAAAGCAGTCTGGCAGTTCTTTCAACAAACATAGGACTACCGTGTGACCCAGCAATCCCATTTCAAGATAAATGAAAACTTACACCCACACTGATGCTTGTACAACAATGTTCATGATTCATAATAGCCCTAAAGTGGAAACAACCCAAATCTCTATCAAGTAATTACTGGATTAGCAAAATGTTCATTTGTTGTATAATTTATTTTATATGAAATACCAGGACAGGCAAGGAGCTCTGGTAGTGTAGTGGTTATGAATTGGGCTGCGAACCTTAAGGTCTGCGGTTCGAATCTACCAGCTGCTCTGCAGGAGAAAGATGAGGCTTTCTACTCCCGTAAAGATTTACACCCTCGGAAACCCTGTACAGGGTCGCTATGGGTCGGAACCGACTCGACGGCACTTAACAACAACCAGAACAGGCAAATCTTTAGAGACAGAATATAGATCTGTGGTTACCCCAGGAGAAGAGTTAGGGAACAGGAAGTAACTACTAATGGGCATAGGTTTCTTTTTGGGGTGATGAAAATGTTCTAGAATTAGATAGTGGTCACTGTAGGATAAGCACTAGATTACTAACTGTGAGATTGGCGGTTCTAACCCACCAGCTACTCCTTGGAAACCCTATACAGGGTCATCATGAGTCAGAACTGACTCGATGGTACTTAACAAGTGTTACACAACCTTTTGAATGGACTAAATGCCATTGATTTGTGCATTTTAAAAGTGGAAGTGAATTTTACAGTATATGAATTATATAATTTTTTTTAAATCTTAAAAATGCATTTTGGGTCATGTGAGAACCGCTGTTTGTAAAATCCTCCATTACCTCCTGTACTGGTGTACTATTAATGCTATAATAAACTACCACACACTTGGTGACTTTAAACAACAGAAATATATTATCTTACAGTTCAAGTCAAGGTGTCTGCAGGGCTGGGTCCCTTCTGGGGACTCTGGGTTAAATCCAGATTCTAGAGTCTGCCTGAAGGAACCCTAGTGGTACAGTGGGTCAAGCATCGGGCTACTAATTACAGGGCTGGCAATTCAAACCCACCAGCTACTCTTCAGGAAAAAGATGAAGCTGCCTGGAATTAAAATCTCAGAAATCCTATGGAACAGTTCTACTGTCTAATAGGGTCACTCTGAGCTGGAATTGACTTGAAGTCTGTACGGTTGTTGTTAGAAGCTGCCTTTGCCTGCAGCCTCGTCATCCTCAGTGGCAGGTGGAGTCCTTGTACTGTATCTCTGGTTCTCACTTCTAAGGGCTCATGAGATTAGATTGGGCTCATCTGACTGGTCCAGAATCATCTCTCTTTCAAAGTCCTTAACCCTGATGACATTCTCAGTCCATTTTGCCTTGTAAGGTAACATAGTCACAGAATCCAAGCAATAGGCATGGATGTCTGTGGGGGCTGGTAACCTCAGTTCCCATCACATGCAGACAAAAGCCAAAGCACTGCTTCGGACTCACAGGCCCCTACTTGTCTCTAACTTCCACTGAGTTTCTCCTCTCAGCCCTTAGGCCACAGCCACACTGGTCTCAAACAGCAAGTGTGTTCTCCTCTTGAGTCTTTGCACTTGTTTTGTCTGCCTAAATTATTCTCTTATCAGCTCTCTGCCTGGCCAACTTCTCCATGTCATTCCAATCTTGGATTTAACGTCACCTCAGAGACACAAGTTTCAACAAACCTTCCAACCATTACTCTGATGTAGCCTCAGTTTAATCCACTGCAAAGCGGGTACCACACCAAAAGGTTTTCTTGTGTGTTTGTGATCTTCTGAATGGGTTGGAACTGCATCTGCCTGTGTACAGCTGTTCACAGCTGTAACCCTAGAGTGATTAGACGTGATAGGGAAAGGGCAACTCAAATTTCCATTTGTGTACCCAATTGGGTGCTGCAGACAGTCATGGAAACCTGACTTTCCAGTCATTTGACCTTGAAAGTCCATAGTTCTTGAGTGAGTTGCATTATTTCAATTTGTACTATTTGTATTCTTTAAAAGTATACTTGTAAAGGGAACTGATTTGAATCTTTTCATATGTGCTCTACTTTAAATTTGCACAAATCTGATTCATGGGAAATACTGTGTTCTGTATCTTCATAACAGCGTTTTTTGAGAGTTGGAACTTGAGACTGGGTTTAGTTTTATTTCTCAGTGTTGAGAGTCTTTGCTTGTACACAAGATGACCCCTTTCTCTCTCTCACACACATACCCCTCTGTCCCCTCTCTTGCAGAAAGCATGCTTTGAATTGTCATCGGATGAAGCCTGCACTCTTCAGTGTGCTCTGTGAGATCAAGGAAAAGACAGGTAGGCCATTGGGACAGACTCTGTGGGTCCTGGGCCACACAGCCAGACATGTTTATGTGTTTGGGGGCATTTTGCTTACCCCATTGCTGGCAGTGGAAGGTTCTATTTTATTAGTGCTATAAATGGAGAAATACTCACAAAGAAGTAGCAAAGCGATGCATTCTAGAATAAGAGCTAAGAACTGCTGTGGCATTCACTTGCTTTGGAAAAGAAAAAGGCCACAAAATTAGAAAAGTAATCACAAATTTGTTCCTGTTTGTTTTAAGCATCCAGAGTAATCATTCTGGATTTTAAAATCTTTTTCATTTTGAATTAATGTTAGACTGACAGAGAAGTTGAACTAAGTAGAGTTCTATCTAGTACACTTTTCTCCTAACCTCAACCCACTACCACCGAGTCAGTTTCAGTTCATGCTGACCCTGACCCTGACCCTATATACGGTTTCCCGAGGCTGTACATCTTTATGGGAGAAGAAAGCCTCATCTTTTTCCTGCAGAGCAGCTTGTGGTTAGCAGTACAGTGTTTATCCTACAGCGCCACCAGGGCTTCTCGTGCTGTTGTTGTTAAGTGCCGTTGAATTGATTGTGACTCATAGAGACTCTCTATAAGGTTTTCAAGTAGCTACTGGTGAGTTTGAACCACTGACCTTATGGTTCAAACCAACCTTTTGGTTGACAGTTTATCCTACAGCACCACACCAGGACTCCAGCATCCTCTAATGTGTTAGCACCTTAACAACCATGGTGCAGTGATCAAACCCAGGAAATTAGCATTGGCCCTGTGTTGCTTAACTGAAATCTATCTTTGGTCCAGGATTCCATTTACAGTCCAGCATCCCCTGTGCATTTAGTCTCTGCATCTCTTTCGTTGTCTCCAATCTGCAATTGTCCCGTCTTTCCTCATTTTCTATTATCTTGACACTGTTGGAGAGCTGCCAGTTGCATAGGAAATCCTTCAGTGTAGTTTGTTCAACATTTCTTCATGACTAGACTGCAGTGGTATGTTTCGGTGCAAATCCCACACATATGACGTGTGTCCTTCTCAGGTGTTGTATTGGGTACATGCTGTCTTAGGTCCTATTACTGATGATGGCAACCTTGGCTGGCTACATGGGTAAAGTTAATAGCAGTGTGGAGATACTCTGGACTAGCAACCATCAGTACGCTGCTGGAATCACTGTCTCGCCACTATTAGGCTGTGCTCTGTATCCTTGCAAAGTGCTGTATGGAAATGAGGCAGTGCTCTCCTTAGACATAGGTTTGTCAGGTGGTGTGTCTTCAGTCGTCACACAGCCCCAATTACTTGATTAAAATGATGTCTGCCAGCCTGCTTTTGTTTAAAGTTGCTCTTTTAACTTTTGTAGTAAATATTTTGTAGGGAAGTATTTCAGATAGTATAAATGTTCCATTCCTCCTCCTTAAACTGTCAATAAGTTTGCCTGTTTTGTGTCAGTGTGAATTCATAGAGTTGTATTTTATCAGTCTATCTCTCAAATTGCCCCTTATTTGGCCAGTGGGAGCCCATTCAAGCTGACCTTATGTCCTTCTGACCTACCTGACATAACTCCATTGCTCTCTGAGCACTTCTGTAATTGGCACAACATGTTCCAGCCCTTTCTCCAAGGATTCTGGTACCACAGACCGTCAAATGGTGTTGAAAAACCAGGGTCTTGTTTGTGCTTCCTCGGACTGGAGAGTTACTGCCCTAGGCACTCTTAGGAAATTGAGAGCTGAAGCGTACATGTGCACGTAAGAAATGGCATAGGTTCAGTGTCTGCCCTCTTCTGACATTACCCTGAGGGGAAAAGGATCAAACTCAGTATCAGCCCAAGGCCAATTCTTATGAGGCAGAGGTCAAACATGCCTCCAGCCTTCTACTTTTTCTACTAATCTGACACCAATCATCCCTTCTATGGCATTCTCTACTCAAGTGAGTTCAGTTATTCATTGCAATGGCCACACAGAACTCAGACACCATATTCATAGTTATGGGGTTTATTAGGGAAGTTAACACGTTACAATCTAGGATCAGAAATATTCAGGGCACAGTTGTTCCAGTCAGGACAGTCTCTTCTCAGCTGTGCATGAAGACAAGCCTCTCTCTAGCCCTTAGTCCCTTGACCTGGGCTGCTAATCAACACCCAAATGACTCCACTCTGCTATAAGCCTCAGCCTGAAGGGACTTAGCTCTAGCTCTGTGGGTCAGCAAGCCTCCCTTGCCCAATTAAGTGTCTGGAGGCTTCCCTTCCACAAGTGAGCCTCCTGCCAAAAGGCACTCAGCTTTATTTGTTTTGTGGGCTAGGAAGCCCACTGCTCTGCCTCTTGGTTCTGCTGGTACTGCTTCCTTGCCATTCCTCTAATGTCACAACTTTCTGTCCCTAGGTTGAGGCACTTCAGTGTGCAGGGATCTCAGGATCCAAATGTCACACTCCACTCCTGACTCTTCTTCCTTGTTGGTAATGAGATTCCCCCTGTTCCTACTTCTGCGATGAATTTTTTTTTTTTTTTAGGTGTTTTGTTGTGAATTATGTGATAGTTTACATGGGAGATCACTAGCTTTACATTCATTGTATTGTATATCATTCCATTGCCATGATTACAAGCCCCTCCATGCATCATCAAACAACCAAAGGGCATACATACCCTGCAAGCCTGCCCCTCAGTCATCGGCACACAGCCACTTTCCCTCTCTGGGTCTAGGGTCCTCAGCCACTCCATCTCTCCACGTCGTAGTCTTTGCCTCCATCTCTGGTGTCACTGTTTCTCTGGGTAGGGTCCTGCACTCCACTCTTCTCCCTTGGTGATCCCAGGGACCTCCGCTCCTGGACTGCAAAGTCAACTGCTCCTCTCCTTTTGCTACAAAATGTTTACCTTTACATTTCTAACCCTTACAGTCAGTCCTGTTAACAGTTATTCACTATTGTACCACAAAAGTCCTATCCCCATCTCCTTTCATCGGCCCACCCAGACAGATTGGATACTACTCAGTGGAGAGTCTACCTTCCTCTGCACCCTCTGGATCTAGGCTCCATCTTGAAAGCTTGTAAACCAGCACTTCTTGCCTTTGTCGCGCCCCACCCCCTCACCCCATTTTGGGTAGCCAGTGTCCAAGTTGCCCATCCCTGTCACCCTGTGTACCAAGGGGGTAGGAATGATCCCTGCTGTAAAGATTTGTTCCCTCTTTCAAGCTACTGTATCCATAGGAGTAGGTCAGGTTCATCAAATTGTATCAGAGTACTCTTTTTTTCTTCTTTATTCTTCTAGTTGAGTTCTGATCATCCAGCCATTGAAGCCAGGTCAAATGGGTATTATCTGCAAGTGTAGGTGTCCTTGTGCATATGCCCTCACTTCTTATCAGCTGGACGCGTCTCTCTCCACTCTAGTCCTCTGTGGCTATGTCACTGACTCTGGGCCCAGGAGTCCCCAGATTTTGCCATACTGCTGGCCAACTAGGTCTCCACCTGGGTTCATAGGAGTCTATTGAATGTGATAGGGCTTAGCTTACAGCTTCATTGCTGTTTTTCCCTCACATCGGTGACCAACTTGATCACCAGTCAGATCACATGTATGTGCTGTATTCCCCTTGAGTCTTAGTTTTAGAAGGCGGTTTGTCCTGAGGGGACCAAACCACTTGCTTTGATGTCTCCTGGGTGAGCAACTTCATTGTTCTTGTAGTAGTCAGTCAGACTGCTGTTAATTGTTTTTTATTTTTCCTGTCTATCTTTCTTTCAAGAAGTATCTTCTGTTCTTCTAGCTGTTCCAGGCTGGTCTGCTTGTCCTTTCAAGTGGAGATTTCCCACCTCAGAAGATTCTAGATGGAGTTCAGGAAGCCTCCTTCACTGGGCAAATTCTAGCCCCATTTTAGGTACTCCAATCAGTTATAGGCAGAAGATGGACCTGTAAGCTTTCTATGGTGATATTTCTGGCTATTCCTTTCTCTTCCCCTCAAGTTCTATTTAACAGTGGTATGCAAGGGAAACCAAGATTCAAAAGACAGCCAAGCATCTTACATTATTTCCCCCCTTTTACCCATTCAAACCATGCCTCAATCCCTGTTTCCCAGAGCCCTGTTATTCCAAGGTTGTGCATACATCATTATTTACCTCTGTTCCACTTAGCCCATGAAAACCTGCCTAACTCTTCTCCCATCTGCTTTGCTCTTCCATTCCCCTCCACCTTCTTGTGTATTGCCCCCGTCCCCAGCACCCAACTGTCCTGTGTGTATTCCTTACCCTATGGTCCACCTTCCACTCCCTCCCCTCATTGCAGACCCCACATCCTGGTAACCAGCAAAGAATTTCCACCCATTCTCTCCTGTTTAGTATGGGCTCTTTTTCTTAGTCTTTTACAATAGTGTTCTTATGCAGTATTTCTCCTTTTGTGACTGACTAATTTCACTCAACATACTGTCCTCAAGGTTCATCCATGTTATGTGGTGGCTTACAGCTTCCTTGTTGTTCTTCAAGGTAGCATAATAATCCATTGTGTGTATGTACCACAGTTTGTTTATCCATTCTTCCATTGATGGGCACTTAGGCTGCCTCCATCTTTTTGCTACTGTAAATAGTGCTGCTGTGAACATTGGTGTGCATATATCTACTTGTGTTATGGCTTGTATTTCTTGTGGGTAAATACCAAGTAGAGGAATTGCTGGATCATAAGGTATTTCTATGCCCAACCTTCAGAGGAAGCGCCATATTGCTTCCCACTAGCAATGTAGGATCGTCCTAGTCTCTCCACATCCTCTCCAACATTTAATGTCCTCTACTTTTTTTTATCTTTGCTGTTATTGCTGGCATGAAATGATATCTCATGTTGTTTTGATTTGCATCTCTCTAATGGCTAGTGCCACCACTCATCTGTCAGTTTGTCATACTGTGGTGGCTTGTGAGTTGCTGTGATTCTGAAAGCTATGTCACCGGTATTTTAAATACTAGCAGGGTCACACCCATGTTGGACAGGTTTCAGATAAGCTTCCAGACGAAGATAGACTAGGAAGAA